TGCCCGCTGCAGGAGCACCCGTGTTCTAGCAGCTAAAATCTAAGGTGTAATAAGCTCTTCCTATATAACGGGGCGTCTGTTGGCCTGCTGGCCACCCTCTGCGATGGGACCCTGGTCCTAGCAGTAAAGACACGGACGTTAAACCTTTTCTCGGAAACATACACACACACACTGCCCTGACCGTTGATTGACTCTATTGTCATCAAAAACTGATAAACCCATTCTGAAAATGTGCTCGCTTTGACCAGACCTAACCCCTAGGCCAGAGAAGTTATTTCAGCAGGGGTTAGAGCTATTTCCTGCATGGTTACCCGTTACAGATCCAGGGGCTCCTCCCTGGGCTGGAGGGTGGTGCTGAAAAGTTAACCACTGCACAGCTGCCACTGAGGCTGATTGTGCTCCCAACCAAGCTGGGTCTTACCATATATCTCCATCTCAATCTTCAGGATCACGTCGGGATGACAGCTTTGTTCCCCATCTCAGGGGTGCATCTGCCCTCCCCTGGAACAGACTCCCTGCTTTATAACCAGCCCCCGCAAACACGCCGCTTGGGCCTCCAATTCCTTGCATTGTTCCCTCTCCCTCTTCAGCTTTCCCCCTTGCCTTACTGGCAGAGTTTGCCAGCTGCTGGCAGCTTGCCCCGGCTTCTTGTGCCTGTGCCTTCCACATATCTCTTTCCGCCCTGACCTGCTCCAACGCCTGCTTCACTTGCATAGTTTTGGCAATATAGTCCGCTTTCACAGTTTGCCAGACACAACAAGTTTGCCACAACCATGCTGCTGTTCTAGCCTTTGAACAATACAAATCATAATATTTCTTGTATGTATTTTCTATATCTGCCATGATGGTCCCTGAGGCCCAACTGCCCTGGGGCCTAAAGGTCAACACCCTTGGTCTGTGGGGAGAAGAGTGCGAATTTTGCCATCTTCCCCTCCACTGTTGATTCGGGGGGCTCTTCCCCTTTCTTATCCCAAATAGTAGCATTGTACCCAAAATATGGAAGGGGGAACAGGCTTATTGGGCTTCCTACACATTCCCTACTCCATATCACCCCTTTCCTCTAATGTACCTGAAAGGGGGAGCAGGCATATCAGGATCCCACATGCTCCCTACTCCATATCACCCCTTTTCTCTAATTAGTGTACCCTATTGGTGGTCTACCCACATTCTCCATCAGTTAATGATACTCCAAAAGAATTCCCACTGGAGACCACTCAGGGTTACACTAGTACGGGTTTATTGTTTGACTAAAGAAGGTACAGAGCTGCCACTAAAAGTATAAACTAAAGAAGATAGAGCTGCTACCACAGGCACCTAGGTTGCAGAAGGAGCCAAGGCATTTAGATTCTGGAGAGTCTGTCTGCTCATCATGGCTGGGGAGCTGGGCAGGAGAGATACTGGCTGTAAAGAGGAGCTTCTCAGGAACAGGGGAAGAAAAAAAAAAAGACACACACTTTGGCCAAGTGCTCTCTCTCTCTCTTTTTATTGTGTGTGTATGGCTCCTGTGACTCATCCATCTCATCACCAAGGAGCATGCCCAGACTTCTCTTTACACAGCAAAGCAGCAGTCTGATGCCTCATCCGCATGTACTCCAGCCTTGCAACTCCTACTACATACACACACCATCACACAGGGGAGAATGCAGTTTAGAGCAAGTTTCAGGCAAAGCGGCTGAGAGTTACAAAGGTTACAACATTGAAGCTTAGAGTAAGTTCTGAACTTATAAAACAAAGCTTCTGAGAGTTACAAAGCTGCAAATGAATTTACAAAGATTACAATGAATTGCAAAGTTTGACAAAGATTATAATGAGTTGCAGTTTAAAACCTTAGACCTTTCAGTTTAGTGTATTTTCAGAAAATGAGTGTGTAAAATTAAGCAAGCTCAGGCAGAGGCTTTTTATGCAACAAGATCTAACATGTTCTTAAATATTTTCAGTGATGAAGATAACACAATCTCCCTAGGCAATTTATTCCAGTGTTTCACCACCCTGACAGTTATCAAGTTTTTTCTAATGTCCAACCTAAACCTCCCTTCAGTGTAATTTAAACCCATTTCCCCACAGTTAAAGCAATTAAAAAGTTTCTCATCCATGTTGGTTCTCTGATGTTCGAAAACCTATCAGCTACAACTGAACATTTTTTCTGTCAGAGCAGTTGAAACGTTTCTCTGCTACATGGATTTTCTGATGCTTAATCAGGCTTCTGTTCTGACTGAAACTTTTTTCACAGTGAGAGCAGCTGAAGGGTTTCTCCCCTGTGTGAACTGTGCAATGGGTTTTAAGATGTGAGCGCCGACTAAAGCTTTTCCCACAGTGAGAGCAACTAAAGGGTTTCTCCCCTGTGTGGACTCTTTGATGATTAATAAGATTTGAGCTCTGACTGAAGCTTTTCCCACACTCAGAGCAGCTGAAAGGTTTCTCTCCTGTATGGATTCTCTGATGTTTACTCAGGCTTCCAGTCTGACTGAAGCTTTTCCCACAGTGAGAGCAGTTGAAGGGTTTCTCCCCTGTATGGATTCTCTGATGCTTAATCAGGCTTGCGATCTGACTGAAGCTTTTCCCACAGTGAGAGCAGTTGAAGGGTTTCTCCCCTGTATGGATTCTCTGATGCTTAATCAGGCTTGCGATCTGACTGAAGCTTTTCCCACAGTGAGAGCAGTTGAAGGGTTTCTCCCCTGTGTGAATTCTCTGATGTTTAATCAGGTGTGCATTCTGACTGAAGCTTTTCCTACACTCAGAACAGTTGAAGGGTTTCTCCCCCGTGTGGATTGCACAATGAGTCTTAAGATGTGAACGCCGACTAAAGCTTTTCCCGCAGTCAGAGCAATGAAAGGGTTTCTCCCCTGTGTGGATTTTCCTATGTGTAACAAGATTTGACTTAGTACTGAAGCTTTTCCCACAGTCAGAGCAGTCAAAGGGTTTCTCGTCTGTGTGGATTCTCCTATGTTCAACAAGGCGTGAGTGCAGACTGAAACTTTTCCCATAGTCAGACCACTTGAACGGTTTCTCTGCTCTATGGTTTCTCTGGTGTTCAGTAACATCTAATGGGCAATGTAACTTTTTCCAGCAGTCAGGGCACTCACAGATTTGCTCAGTTGGATGCATTCCCTGAGAGGCAATACGCTTGGAGTTCAGATCAAAGTTATTCCTACGGGCAGGGAAGTTGAAGAGTTTCTTGCCTCTGTGGATTATCTGGTGTAAAATAAGGACCTGTTGACATTTGAAACTTTTCCCACAGTCACTGCAAGTGTAGGATCCCTCTTGATGGGGGATTTTCTGTTGAACAGTTTCTTTGTTTCTTTGCACCCCTCTGCTCTTGTGACTGCATTTACCATTTCCCTGCTGCTTTTCTGGGCTAAGATGACTCTCACAGGTCTCTCCCTGCTCAGGACTCTGGGAAACATGCTCTTCAGATCTTTCCAGTGACATCCCAGGTGGAGGGACTTGCTCCAGTCCTGCCTGCTGAAGACTCTCCTTATTGTTCTCCCTCAGCATCCTATCACCTGCTGGGACAGACACAGAAACCAGACAGGAGTCATTCTCTGGGCTAAGATGAAAGAGGAACTCAAAAAGGGAGAGAAAACACCCAGCAACTGCTGGGGGGTTGAAATTATCACAGCCTCCTCCTGCTTCATGAAATATGAATTTTCATTAAGCATCTTTGAGATGTTACATGTTGTGTTATGCCTACCATTTTTAAAGTTACAGTCTTAACCATAAACTTTATGTCCTATTTCTGTGCCTGTATCATTCTTGTACATGCAGGTAAACATACAAAGCATGAATCTGGTTTTAAGTCTAACTGTGCTAACGAGCACCATTAGCGATAGGTCATGAACTTAGTGACTCAGTACTCAAATCAACCACCAATGACAGTTACTGTAAGCCCAAACAGTGGTTGAACCTAGAAAGACACATGACCATGCCACAGGAGGGGGCAGAAGTAGGGTGCCACAGAAAGGCCTGTGTCCTTCCTGCAGAGATCTCTGTTGTAATTGCTGAGAAGCTTACCTGTGTGTCCTCAGTGTGTCTGTAGCACAAATTATGGGTCGTGTGAATGGTTGGCATGAGTGAATTAACAGTAATTGAGCTGAAGAGAGGCCATACTAAGGTTCAAGCCAGTGCCCTGGAGAATTAAGACTTGTTTACAACTTTGGGAGAAGGGACTGTGTGGGAAAAAAAAGACTGTGTGTGCTGAGGAGACAAGATGGTACAGAAGGAGGCAAAGTTCCCAGATAAGGAGGAGTAACAAGGGAGGAACCTAATCAAGGACAGTCCATTATTTATCACTTGTGGTGAGGCAAGCAGAATTGGGTGGCACGAGCAGGGTGCCTCAAGGATGGTTCAACATCACCCCACCAGGCTGCGTGCAACCAGTGGACATCGTGTCATGTGACTGGCCCCCGCCAAGGGGTTATATCCGACACCATTTTGCCACGAGTTGGAGTCCATCGATTCAGCATATTGAGATCACGTGCACATTGGACTTGTGCCTCAACTCCATTACCTGGGGTTTGGCCAGCTCCAGAGAGTGAGTGGGATGTGTGTATAAGAGTGTGTGTGTGAAATTGGATTAAGAATTAGGCTGCTATATTGGGTTAAGGATTAGATTTAGACTGTTTACTATTCAATTTAAACATTGTTTTTAACATGCCTTCTAATGCCCTTTAATGGCTAATTTTTATATATATATATATAGCTTTTAAAACTGCTCTTAAATTGCTTGCAATAAAACTTGTTAAAGGTATATTTGGGCTACTGTGGGGTTTTTGTTGTGTGACGCTGATCGAATGCACCTTGTAGTGCGGCATGATCAACCATACAAAAGTGCCCTCCCATGACTGATGGTGGAGAATGCAGGCACAGACAAAAGAATCCACAGTAAAAGCACTGATGTGTGAAGGAATTTGCTGGTGAAGTGATAAGAAAGGAGTGTGTTGTTAAAGTGATATTTGACTATGGGGGCTGTCTGCCTGGAGGAAATAGCCCGAGTCAATCATACCTCTGGAAAGTATATGACAAGGAGTGTCTTCTTGGCTGTACACTGGAGGAAAGAGAGGGGGTGTCTTTTGACACTGCAGTGTTGAGGCCTGTGCCTTGGAAAATATAGGAGGGAAGCTGCCGTCTCTCATCTATATACCAAGAAGATCTTGGGACCAAAGGAAAGAAGTGAATTTTGTGGCAGGGGCCAGATGGTATCAGCCCCATCGGGTTGGGAAAAGTGGCTCTTAAAAGGTCTGACTGTCACTATGGGCCTCTCGTCCCAAATTGATGAAGGGCATATCTAAATCTGAAGATCTGGAGGATACCTTTAACAAGTATAAATGAATGCAGAAAGGTGGTTGGCAGCAGCAGTTTCACTTGCGTATACTGCAGCAGGTCGATTTGGGAGCATATAAGCAAGAGCTTGAGATAGAAAAAAAGTCATCTAAGTGTAGCTAAAGGGCAACTGGAGAAAGTGAGGGGAAAATTAAAAACAGGAGAATCAAATTTTACAGGGTATAATAAAAATATTAGCCCTGAAGTAAGGTAGAGCCCCTCTGGATCATAGCCATTGTGATTTAATTATTGAGAACCCACGGCAAAAGTTAGAATGTACCACTAGGCAAGTGGCTGCAGTTGCTTCTGGGGAATGGGACAACATCCCTGAGTGGGAAGTAAATCCAGAGGAAATTTGGGAAAGAATAGGAATAAAGTAAAAAAGCTAGAATTTTGCAATTAAAATAAAATGGCTTAAACAACATTCCACTATACAAGCTTCCCAAAAAAATGAAAAAGAAATTAAAAAAGAGAAAGCAATACATGCTGTTCAGCACTGGAAAGCTGTTCTGCTGGCAGAGCAACAGGCTGTCCAGGCATATGATTTCTCGAACAAGTAAAGCAGCAAAATAAGAAATTGGAAAAGGCGGTTAACAATCTGGAAAAGAATGAAGCACCACCTCCTGCTGTTAGACTGCAAGCACTTTCACAGTGCCTGAAAAGTGGGGACAGAAATAGAAAAGGTGGCCCTGGTAAATTTAAAAGATGAAATGGGATCCACTGCATTGCAACCACAATCATATGAGGAGCAAGCCCAAAAGAACGAAGGTTGGTGTTTCCGTTCTTCCCTCGTATGGGGTCTTAAAGGTACATGACAAATAAGACTAAAACTTGCTTATCCTATCCCTATCCACCTTATGCCAAATTAAATGTCCAGCTCCATGGTGGTCCACCTATAGGGCAAGGGTCCGGCAATGGCATGGTTGTTGTGGCAAACTTGCTGTGCTTGGCAAGCTGCTAAAGTTAATTCTGGAACTATGTAAATAAAGCAGGTTTTTTATGTTTTGTGATGGTGACCGAATGCGCCTCGTAGTGTGGCGTGATCAATCAACCTCTTGTGACATCTGGCAGGGGCCCAAGGCAGGCAAACTCTGAAATATCCTGTCTGGCTGATGTTTGGAAGGTGACCTCCTGCCTGACTTTTAGCATTGCTCACTTAATAAGTTTCCCCAGAATGATGTGTTACTGTAATACCAAAAAATGAACAGGAACGACAAGTTAGGGGTACTTGGACTCATCAGGAGGGAATTATCAAGGATTCCCCTGTGGGATACATCTTATGGTCCCCTCCAACAGAAGGAAGATTGGCTCTCTTAAAACTGCCACTGGGTCACTCGAGCAGGGATGGGTAATCATTTTTGAAGGGGGGAGGCACACTAAGATTTTGGAAAGTGCTCATGGGCCACACATCTCTATGCAGGGGGTGTAGAGTTTGGGAAGGCAGCTGTGTGCAGAAGGGAGCTTGGGGTAAGGGACTGGGGTACAGGAAAGGGTGTGGGGTCAGAGAAGCAATTGGGGTGAAGGAGGAGTTTTGAAGACAGGGGATTGGGGTGCAGGGTCCAGAAGGGAGTAAAGGTGCAGGAGTGAATTTTGACTTGGGCGACAGAGGGAATTGTGACCTGGGGCAGGATGCACGTGCAGAGGATTTGCATGGTGTCCTGGGCAGGGAGTTGAGAATGGGGGGGCCTGGGATGTTGAAGGCAGGCAATGGCCAGGAGCCACTTACTTAGGCTGCTCCCATCTAGAAAACTAACAAGGTCCCCGAGGCAGGCACCCTCCTGGAACAGTCCCAGGCCACTCAAGGAGGTTACCTCCATGTGCCATTCGGAGCCATATGTCTCTGGGAGGCGTGGCAGGGAGAGACTTTGTGTGCTTTCCTGCCCGAGGCCAATCATTGCAGCTAGGTGCGAGGACTGGGTGCAAGAGAGCGCACAAACTCTCTCACCCCCTGCAGCCAGGGCCACGTGGCACCTAAACAGAACCACCAGCCATTCTGAACACCTGGCGGCTTGGTGTACATGCTCCTGGTGAAGCAGGGGGAAGAGTTGGTGTACGGGAAGAAGAGCTTGGCACACCACATGCTCCTGGTGAAGCAGGGGGAAGAGTTGGTGTACGGGAAGAAGAGTGAGCAAAGTCTCTTGCCTCTCAGTCTGCCTCTGTCAGGATGCATCTCGCTGTTGAAAATGGATGGCAGCTCCCTCTAGGCACCGCACGCCCCTGATGGAGGGAAGCCACCAGCCTCCGGGTCCTGACAGAGCAGGTCTTGGGCCGGATCAAACAGGAATTATTAGTACTGAAGTTTGGGAGCATTTTATTAACCTGTTGTAGACAAGTGTAAGTAACTGACATGAAATAATGTTAAAGTTTAAGTGAAAGCTCTTATGTGGTCCTGTTTGTGCCAGTCACCTACTGGTGGGAGGACACGTCTCCCTGAAGTTACTTCCCAACACCATCTCACACAGAAATAAGTTACCCAGGGCTTCAGGTAGAAGGAAACCTGGGTAACACCGCCCCCCCCCCCTTCCCTCTGACTGGAGTTGAAGATAGGCTGAAGGGACAGTGAGACTTGATGAAAATGCACAACTGACACATACAATGATGAGACAGAAATTTGGCTGATAGTCAATGTCTCCCACACAGGTGAGCAATCTCCCCTTCCTCACAGCCCTGGAGATCTGGGACCCACAGCTTCTCCCCTCGCTCTACCCAAGAACTCACGTGAGCTTTGGAGACTGGAAATCCTGTCAGGGGAGCAATGAACCAAGTGCTGATCTTGTTCATTAAGGGCTGTGCAATTACTGCTTCCAGAGCCAGGATCCGAGTCACGCACACAGAGAGGCTCCTTCCACACCTTGCAGGGACTGGGCTCTGGCTGGTACAAGATCCCAGGACACATTCACCTGCAGTAAAGGTGCCACCTCCAGGGAGGAGCTGAGTGCTTTGCTGCACTCTCTAGGGTACAACTAAGTCTCCTAAATGGCCCATTTCATCCTTCTACCCCAGGGCAGGACAGGAACACACTGCTCAGAACGGGAGCTCTAGTGACACTGAGGACCCCAGGCAGAGCTCAAACTGCAGCTGCCACATGGCAGGTCACTAGGACTTGGGAGAGAAAGGACCCAGCAGAGCTCCAGCTCCCCAAGGGCTCTGTCCACAAAGCTCCTGGCTGGTGGGCTCAGCTCACCCTGCTCTGTGGATCAGATGCTCTACTTGGGCCAAAAGGAGGCAGAGGAAGTAGCCTGAGAGTCCTTGGCTGGCTGCTTCAAACCCTGAGGAGGAGTACTCTGCAGGCACTAACAGCAGACGCACCCAGACCCACAACTCTGGTAACCACTGTTCCTGCCTGGGCCCTTCCACTCTGGCCAAGGCACAACATGGGCAAGATGAGACCTTGGATGTGGAAAGAACAGCACCACTGTTATATCCCTGAACCTGCTTCCCCTGGGAGTGGGCATGGAGGGGACAATCTCTCACACAGGAGCCAGGATTATTGGGGCTGATACTCCTGACACTAGGGTCGGGGCAATGAGGGACCCTGAACCAAACGCAACCCAGCTGCTCCAAAGCCCACACAGCTTCTGATGCCCAAGGGGACAGGAATCCTTACCCAGCCAGCTCACAGCCTCATAATTCTCCCACATCACATCCCTGTAGAGGGCTCTCTGCCCTGGGTCCAGCAGAGCCCATTCCTCCTCAGAGAAATACACGGCCACCTCCTCGAAGCTCACCGGGTCCGCCACAGCCATTTCCTGTCCCGGGCTCTACAGGCCAGGGGCTGGGCCAGAGATTGACATGAGTGTTCTGCAGCCTGTCAGAAGAGGAGCAATTGGAGACATTTCAGAAAGGGCTTAATTTCTTTCCACACTCCCATTCTGCCCAGACTGTCTCTGGTGACACACATGCTAGACCAGAGTGGGCAAATGCTGAGCCTGAATTTCAACATTACTGCATCTGTAACAATGGATTCAGTTCTGAGCACTCAGTGTTTTCGAGAAACAAGCCACTAATTATGCTACCTGAACATGGCTGCAGGTATCTAAATTTAGGTTCCTGCAGCTAAAATACCTCCTTTTCCTCCATATATTTGTAGCACAGACCCAGGCCCTCTCATAAGGGCTAAGCCAACAGACACTTTATAACCCCCCCCCCCCAAGTGTTTGCAGGATGAGTGTATGCATGGTGAGTGTTTGCAGGATGAGTGTTTGCAGGATGAGACCTTGAAGTTAATAGATTAACAGTATCCATGGGGAACGTTAGCCCTGCAGTCTGACCCCCTCTGCGATACAAGCCATTACACTTAGCCCAGGTACCCAGGCACAAAGCTGTTTCCCCACAGCCTGCTTTCTAGAAAGTCACCCAGTGCTGAGTTGAAGACATCAAGAGATGGAGAATCCACCACTTCCTGTGGCTATTGATATCTGTGGCTCATTGTCCTCTTTAACAAACATTTGTGCCTCAACACTGGAGGCAGACAGCTGTTTAGCATTGTGTCTCCTGTCTAGCCTGAAACTGTCTGGATTCACCTTTCAGTTATTGGTTCTCACTGAGCCACTAGGCCAGTGTCCACTAGGCCAGTGGTTCCCAACCTTTTTTATACCATAGAACCACAAACTTTTGGCAGAACAGGAACATTTTATTTGCATATTTATAATGGAAAAATCAATAAGCAAATATAATAATGCCCACCTGTAATGGATCAGTTTGCCGATATCTACAACACTAAAATAATAATTCAACAAATTCCCCTCTCGCTGCTGGGTGGGTGACTGGTGCTTGCAGAAGAAGGGGCACAGGAAGTGGCACCCAAAGGGGCAGGGGGCATTTGGGTCACCCTATTTAGCAACTTAAATTTGTCAAGGGCACAGGAGCTGGTGTCCCCAAGTGCTACCACCAGTCACCTCTGCCCTCTCCCCTCCTGCCCCACGAGATGGGGGAGCTGCCACTGTATCTCTCCCTCCCCTTCTGTATAACCCCTGCCCTGTCTCTCTCCCTTCCCCATCCAGGCTGCTTATACTCCCAGTCTCCCCCCAACCTCCCTTCGCCATATACCCCCTTTACCTCCCAGAATTTCCTTTCATTGCACCCCTGCTCCCATCTGACTCATGTCTCCCTTGAATCCCCCCATCTCCCTTCAGTGCCTCCTGCATCTCTCTTCTGCCCCAGCCTCTCACATCCTTGTACCCCTCTTTAACCCCTTCAGATCTGTCCCAGGGCTGGCTCCCCCACCCCACACGTGCCAGGAGCTGCTGGCAGTTTCTCTGGGTCCTGGGCAGGGATCATAACCAGCTCTGCAGGGAGAAGCCTGGGGCCAACCCCCCCTGCAGCTCTGGGCACTGCTCCTGGGGAAGGGAGGAGGGTTTCTTACATGCCCCAAAGCTCTTGGGGAGCAGCAAGACCAGCAGTATGTAGAAAGCTGCTTCCTGTAAGACTGTGCTACTTAGGGAGAAGTTAGGGGCACAGCTTGCTCAGTAACTCTGCTGAAGCCCCTGCCCCTCACCTTGCCCACTCTAAGGCTACATCTACACAAGGAAAAGTTGAAAAGAAAGATGCAAATTGTGAATTTGACTATCTTTTTCTGTTTTTCTTTTGAAAGAGGCTTTTCTGAAATTTGTCACATCTGCACCACACCAAATTTCAGAAAAACCTTCTCTTTCCAGATATCTCTTCTTCCTTGTGCAGGTTTGCAAACATCGCAAATGGGCCCATCCCTTCCCACACAATGTCACTTCCCTCCCCCTTGCCCTCCCTCCCCAGCCCAGACTCCCCTCTGCCCCGTATGACTCCCCTCCCTCCTGGACCCTGCATTCTTGCAGTCAGTTTGGCTCCAAGCAGCCCCTGCCCTGCATGCACCAGCCACCGGATCTGCAAGGGGAGCCAGTTTTAAAACCGCTCCCCTAGTGGATCTGTTGCCCTGTGCTGCTACCTCTGATAAAGAGCAGTAGCACAGGGTGGCAACAGTCCCTGTCTAGGGGGAACTGAGTGGGGCTGCCTGTCCACCTGCCTCCTAAAACACAAAGGCCAGGGAGCACGGTTTAAATGTAGAGCCACAGCAGGGGTAGGTCCCAGACCCGTTTCAAGTCAGGTCTGATCCAGGTGGCTAAAAAATATACTGGCAAGTGTGCATGTGGGGAAATATGTGCAGTCTCTAGCATTAACCTATAACCAGGCTCTGGGGAGTTGGGGCTAGAAAGCCAGTGCAAGCTCCCCCATATTAGAGGGTTGCCAGAAGGGCCGGATCCAGGCAAACCAGGGGCCATGTCCCGCCCCCCCCGAGCCGTAGGTTCCCAGCCCCTGCCTGGCCGCTCGAGGCAGGCCGAGCCCCGGCGGGGGTTCCAGGGGCG